AAGGGGCGGCCAGGGGGGGGGGGGGGAGCACAGGAAGTCATTAGCTCTCGGGATTTCTGGCAGGATCTACAGGACGATCTCTGACTTTTATAAACAGATACACTATATTGCCAAAGGTATCGGGACGCCTTTACGCGCACGGGGACCACACAAAATAGGACAAGCGGACATTTTGGACAGTTTCATGCTCCCAACTTTGTGGGAGGAGTTTGGGGACGGCCCCTTCCTGTTCCAACATGACTGCGCACCAGTCCACAAAGCAAGGTCCATAAAGACATGGATGGGGGAGTTTGGAGGGGAAGAACGTGACTGGCCGCACAGAGTCCTGACCTCAACCCCATAGAACACCTTTGGGATGAATTAGAGGCGGAGACTGCGAGCCCCTCCTCCAACATCAGTACCTGACCTCACAAATGGCCCAACATTCCCATAGACACACTCCTAAACCTTGTGGACGCCTTCACAGAAGAGGCGGAGCTGTTATAGCGGCAAAGGGCGGAGCCAACTCAATACTGAACCCTACGGACTAAGACTGGGCTGCCATTAGAGGGCGGAGCCAACCCAATACTGAACCCTACGGACTGAGACTGGGGCGCCATTAAAGTTCCTGTGCGTGTAAAGGCGTCCCAATACTTTTGGTAATATAGTGTATGTTATACAAGAGTGACATCACCGCACTCCAGATATAAGATATATTATACAAGAGTGACATCATCTACTGAAACTTGAGCACTGTTTTTTCCATGTGGTCACTCCCATTGCCAGCCTGATGTGACACTGCAGCTGGTGTGCAGCATACGGCATCGATATATCATATAATGGGGGGGGTGTTATCTATGACGGAGCGATGAGTCTGAGTTGCGTAGGCCGGGAATGTACAGGAAGGTGACGCTTGGCCGCCCCTCACCCACCTGGCGACATTCATGTAAATGATCGGCGTCCTGCGGGGCGATGTCGGGTCTCAGGGGGATAAGAGGGGCGCTATGGGGAGCAATGGCAGGTGGCGCCCCTCCCCCTTTTCCTTGGTGGTCTGACTCTGTGATTCCCAGCCGCGGAGGGAACTGAAAGTCTCTTTGTTGTTGCAGCTGCAGAAATTGCTTCATGAGAAACCCCGAGAGCAACGACTGTGACCGGCGGAGAGACTTCTGCTTTGCAGCGCCGGGGTCAGTCCCTGCCAGGAGTTTGTATGTCCTCCCTGTGCTTGCAATGCTTTGCTCCCTCACTCCACAGACATGCTGGTGGGACAAGTGGCTCCTCTCTAAACTGGCCCCAGTATGTGGGGCCCAGCAGGCCACACCCACTACAAGAAAACTACAAGAGGGGCGGAGACAAGACCAGTCACCCTGCACAAGGAGAGAGCAGCAGTGAGCGGTCTTTATTACAGGAGGGGGCAGAGACAAGACCAGTCACCCTGCACAAGGAGGGAGTGCAGTAGTGAGCGGTCTATATTACAGGAGGGGGCAGAGACAAGACCAGTCACCCTGCACAAGGAGAGAGAGCAGCAGTGAGCGGTCGTTATTACAGGAGGGGGCGGAGACAAGACCAGTCACCCTGCACAAGAGGGAGTGCAGTAGTGAGCGGTCTATATTACAGGAGGGGGCGGAGACAAGACCAGTCACCCTGCACAAGGAGAGAGAGCAGCAGTGAGCGGTCTTTATTACAGGAGGGGGCGGAGACAAGACCAGTCACCCTGCACAAGGAGAGAGAGCAGCAGTGAGCGGTCTTTATTACAGGAGGGGGCGGAGACAAGACCAGTCACCCTGCACAAGGAGAGAGAGCAGCAGTGAGCGGTCTTTATTACAGGAGGGGGCGGAGACAAGACCAGTCACCCTGCACAAGGAGAGAGAGCAGCAGTGAGCGGTCTTTATTACAGGAGGGGGCGGAGACAAGACCAGTCACCCTGCACAAGGAGAGAGAGCAGCAGTGATTGGTCTTTATTACAGGAAGTCTCACACGGGATGACTGCACGGATCTGGGAGAATACACAGGACTCTGGTATGAGGACAATGTCTGCTGATCGCACCCCCGGCATCCCTCTGGATGTACAGTGACAAGTCAAAATTTCACTGCAGGCGAACGAAGGACTTTACAGGGGATGTGTGCATGTTGACAGCAAGCTCTGTGCAGATGATAAGAGGGACAATGAGGGGTGCGGGGAGTGCGTTCCATATGCTCAGCAATTCTGCCTCATCAGCTGCTGCAGAGCTCTACGCATTCTCACTCACTGGACAAAACAATATCCAAGCACAAGCCATCACAGGACCATTGCTCTATGTGGGGAAGCAGAGGTCTCTCTGCAGAGGTCCCACACGACCCGTGCTGAGACAGAGCTAGAGCTCCCCGTTCTGCAAAACTCACGCCCCCTGCTGGAAGGGTTAAATGCTCCTTAGGTCTAGGGGTAGAGGAATAAGTTGTACAACCTACCCTCTTCCTCTGTCCGGCAGGCTCTCTTCTTGTCTCCAATAATCCAGGCTGTGGGCGGGTCAGAGCCAGGGCTCTCCAATCAGCGAGGAGCGTGAGCTTTGCTGATTGGACAGCTTTAGAGGAGGTGCTCTAGACCACTGCAGAGAGGCCACTGCTTCCACACGGAGAGCAAGGCTCCCTCTCTGCAGCGGGGCACTCAGTAGGGGAGAGACATGTAAGTTTTGTGTCGTTCCGAATGGATATTCGTTTGAATTTCGTTAAATTCAGGGGGATGAGTTACAGGAACGGTCATGTGACTTCCTGTTGTGGATCATTCCGAAATTAAAATTCGGACAGATAAATAAATATAAATAATGAAAAAAAAATCCAAATTTATCCGAAACGAAACAAAATGTTTGCGGCGTCACATGTCTACAAATCCAAACTGCTGCAAATGTTTCTCTGTGGAATCTCGT